AAAGCCCAAACCACACCCACTGCCGTGGAGTCGATTCTGACCCACAGCGCCCCTAGAGGACAGAGTGGAATTGCCCCACAGGGTTTCCAAGGCTGCCATCTTTACAGAAGCCTACTGCTTCATCTTTCTCACACAGACTGGTTGGTGGGTTCGAACCACCAACCTTTTGGATAACAGCCACATGCTTTAAACACTGTGCCACCAGGGCTCCTCAGACAACATTAACCAAAAAAACCAAACTCACTGCTGTTGAGTCATTTCCGACTCATAGCGACCCCTCCTTGGTTTTCTGAGGTGGTATCTCTATGGAAATATATTGCCCAGTCTTCCTTCTGAGGAGTGGCTGGTGGGTTTGAACCATCAGCCTTCTGGTTAGCAGGCAAATGCCTTAGACACTATGCCAGTCAACATTAAAGAAGTATTCATTTTCAGGCGTGATAATGGCATTATGGTTAGTTTTGTTTTAACTAAGATGCTCATATTAGAGATGTTCTTATTAAGGTATTTATGGATGAAATGATAGAGACTCAAACTTGCACTGTAATAACCCACGGTGGGTGGGAGTAGGGAGGTTTGCAGGGGGTCAAGATGAAACACAGCTGGTGATGTGGAAACTGCCTAGTCGCCTGTACAAGAATGGTCCTTATAGGATTCTCTCGACTTCCACGTTTGTAGCATCCCCTGGTGTGTGTGTGTTTTTTTTTTTTTTAACGGCATCCTAGTTTACTCAACTCAGGGCTTCAGTAAATCACTATTTCTGATTACTTGATGGATGCCGAGTTTTGTTATCAGTTCCAAGGCAATGGTTCTCCAAGTTGAGTGTCCATCAGATTTTAAAGAAAACAGTTAAAACTGCCTGAGAAAAACAGATACAGACCTGAAGCATCATTACTGTAAACCAGCAAAACCAAACCCGGTGCCGTGGAGTTGACGTGACCCTGTGGGACAGAGCAGAACTTGCCCGGAAGGTTCCTAGGATGTCATCTTTATGGGAGCAGACTGCCTGGTCTCTCATCATGGACCTGCTGGCTGGGCTCAAAGTGCTAGCCTTCCAGTTCCTGGCTGAGTGCTTTAACCACCGTGCCACCAGCACTAACACACAGCAGCCAAGGAGCGATGCCTGAGAGGGGCGTGGGACTGGAGTCTGAGCAGAGCAGGCCTTTTGTTGTAAGATACGGCCTAGAAAAGGCCCGGGGGCAGATCTTCTCTGTCAGATGCAGTTCCTATGAGTCACAATCAACTTGGTGGCTCCCTGACAACAACAAAGTTCCTCAGTTTCTATTTATATTTACCACCAAGTTATAAAGTTTTGAGTAAAGTTACTTAGATGTTTTGCTGCTATTGTGTTTACTGTCAAGTGTCCAGGTGACACACACGGGCTCATTACATTTACTGAGTTATTCCGTCTCAGAGGGTGGGATCATGGCCTGCTGGGTCTCAAAGGGTGGGGCCGCAGTGCCCAGGCTTCAGAGGCTCCGATTGTCACCAGCTCGGCTCTGGAATAGGAGGGTGCCATTCACAAGTGTCGGGGTGGGGGTGAGCTTGCTGCCTCGTCCAAGGGGCAGAAGGGCTGGGGTTGCTGCTCAGATGGGCAAGGAGGTGCCATTGCTGGGGGCCTGGGGGCAGAGCTAAAGCCCACGGCCCAGAGGCCTCAACCCCGAATCCCGAGAGCACGGCAGCACCCAGAGTGTGCAGGGCAGGGGCCCCGCTGGTCGCAGAGAGCGGAGGGTCACTTCCAGTGTGTGGAGCTAACGTGAACTGCTCTGCGGGGTTTGGACTTGCTTGATTCCAGTTATCCCTTCTTTCCCACAATTTCTCCCATTTGTTACAGCAAGGTCTACTTGTCCCTGGGCCACCCTTGGACAGTGGACGCAGATAACCTGTATTCTAGATAACAAGGAATTTTGTCCCAGAACAGAATTTGGATTGGGAATTGATTTAAGACTTTTGGGGTGATACGATGGGATAAAAATTTTGCTTGTCACAAGGGTATGAATTCTGGGGGGCCAAGGGGTGTAATATCACAGACTGAACTGTGCCCGCCCTCAAAAAAATGTGTCAACTTGGCTGGACTGTGATTCTCAGGGGTTTGGCGGTTACGTAATGGTGTAATCATTCCCCACGATGTCATCTGATGTGATCAGCCAATCAGCTGTAGCGGGATGTGACAGGAGCTTCGCTTGGGTGTGGCCTGCATCACCTCTTACCTCACAAGACATAAAAGGGGAGAGCAGTTAGCGGAGAGGACCCACCCCACCAACAAAGAGCTGGAGCAGATCATATCCTTCGTGCCCACGGCCCCTGTGCCGAGAACCTCCTAGACCCAAGGGAAGGTGGAGGCCAAGACGCATGGTGATCTCCATGGAACGCTGAGCCCACCGATGTCAAAAGGAGACCAGGACCTTCCCCCAGAGCCAACAGAAAGAGAACCTTCCCCAAGAGCTGAATGTGGACTTCTATCCTGAACGGTGAGAGAATAAATTTCTGCTTGTTAAAGCCGCCCACTTGTGATATTTCTGTTACCCCAGCACCGGATAACTAAGACAGTCTGCATATATTTTTACCAAGTGACTCACTGGTTTTGGCTTTTTCCTTTTACATTTCTTTTCCTGTGACTGGTAGCACGCTTGTTCTCTTTTATTTAGGGATTGCAGTCTGGCCCTGAACGCTCCCTGTAGCCTATCTCATCAATGTGACAAGCCCTGTCCTACCCCAATATTACCCCAATATTATCTATAATCTCATTTTCTCTGCTGAGTCTCTGCACAGAAATGGAAGACATTCATTCTGACCTAACCCTGTCTAATCATATCCTAAGGATTTTTGCAGTCAAAAGTCCTATGCAGTCCGTCAGGGAAGAACTTCATGCCCCACCACTGGATGCCAGCTCTCTAGAGCTGAGATGGATCTCAAAGAAGTAGGCGGTCTATGCCGTGTGAAGATGAAACAGGAAGAATGAAGGTGCCTGCTCCATTGGGAAGCGCTTGCAAGTAGCCATCCAAGGACAACCCCTGGTCTCTAACTGCCTGGAGCAGCAGAGAAAGAGGAGTCAGGAAGAAGAGGAAATGGAATGTGTGGCTAATTGCCTCCATGAAAAACAGCCCCCTCTGCCATGAGACCAAAAGAACTACAGTGCCCGGCTACCATGACCAAACTAGTTTTAATCAAAGATTCTATAGAAGAATCCTGATCAAAAGGGGGGAAATGAACTAATAGTATCTGTTAAGCATAGCTTAACAGTATTTCAAATGCTTGTTGTCTAGACATTCTGCAGCAATTGAGGCCAGATGGACCTCTGAAACTACAGCCATAAGATAATCTTTAAACCCCACCCAACCCCACCCAAAAAAACCACCAAACTCACTGACGTCCAGTCAATTCCAACTCATGGTGACCCCTCCTTGGGATTCCAAGGTGGTATCTCTACAGAAGTAGATTGTCCAACCTTCCTTCCGAGAAGTGGCTGGTGGGTTTGAACCGTCAACCTTCTGGTTAGCAGTCAAATGCCTTGTTGTTGTTGTTATGTGCCGTAGAGTCGGACCCGACTCATAGTGACCCCTCCTTGGGTTTCCGAAGCAGCATCATTATGGAAGTAGATTGCCCAACCTTCCTTCCGAGAAGTGGCTGGTGGGTTTGACCCGTCAGCCTTCTGGTTAGCAGTCAAATGCCCTGTTGTTGTTGTTGTTGTTATGTGCCGTGGAGTCGGACCCGACTCATAGTGACCCCTCCTTGGGTTTCCAAAGCAGTATCACTATGGAAGTAGATTGCCCAACTTTCCTTCCGAGGAGTGGCTGGTGGGTTTGAACCACCAGGCTTCTGGTTAGCAGTCAAGTGTCTTAGCCACTGTGCTACCAGAGCTCTTAGTCAAATGCCTTAGGTACTAAATATCCCTGAAGTCTTCTTTAAACCAAG